TTTGTTTAAATCGTAATTAATTCGCAGATGTGTTTCTGAACGTTTCAGTTTCTTTTTGAATCAGTTTTGCAGGGCTTTTTGTCGCCTAGGAAACGGATAATGTTTTGTTTCCTTGTGTGACCATTGTTAGTTTTGTTTATTTGTTATTTAATTTATCGTTTTTTGTTTTTATTCGTGTTCAGCAGTACATTCTTTGACAATGCTAATTGAGCTGTTAACTGATCACTTTTAATTACCATGACATTGATACATATGATCATTTATACCTCCAGGTAATAAACCCCTGTTTATATGTAGGTAGGTGATAGTAAGCATTTTTTGCGAATGCCCAGGGTGGGTGCATATGTTGCTTTCATGTTCTGAAAATGAACGCCATCAGTCTTCACTGCAATCAAAAAATATTGCCGTTCTAAAGTCAACTAGATATCAGTCAAATGGAAATGTCACGTTCGACCGTAGTTTAATAGCAAAAGGTCTGTTTCGGTAGTAATAAGATAAATTCACCATACGCGAATCATGTAACCGTACAATGACGATTTATATTCTTCCTTTTTTACGATTCGTCACTCAAAGGATCAGTGATTCTTCAGAATGTTGTCAGTTGTTATAAATTTGGGTTCATCCCTGATTTCGTTTCAGCAATTAAGCCTTTATTTTCATCAGTTGAGAATCAAGGCGGCGTGATTATAAGCAGCCCCAGTGATGGTTCCTTGTATCAGTATTTCGAGCAGTGCCGTCTACCAGGACAGAGTATATTCAGTGAAGATTTCGTAGCAAGACATTTCGAAGGCTTGCCCTCCTCTCGTTAACAGTCGTATTTGTCATCGATCAGTGAGAAAGAAGAACGGTGTATAATATTCAGAGCAGGTTTAGATGATCTGACCTCGCCTTTAGTTTTCCCATTTTCTTTGTTTTCATGTTTTGGTGCTAAATACTTTATTGTATAAATCAGTGGAGGCAACGGTACAAACTGTGGAATAATTCTTTATTTGAGATGACAGCTGTTCTGAAACTGTTCCATTTGTTAAGTATAACAATAATATTTAAAGAATTCAGTACTGTTTGAGTGGAGTATGCGTCATCTGACATACTGAGCCGTATGAACATGATTTAATGTTTATGCGATAGTGCGTAAGGAATACCATTTCTTGAAACAGTTCGTAATGTTGGCAAGGTGGCTGTAGCGGACAAAGTGGTGCGAGATGCCTCAGGCGCTGTAGATGACAAAATGCAATGGAGTAGCGAGCGGAGCCTGTTTAAGTGGCCCTCAGGTAAGTAAAAACAAAGGGGTTGTGGTGTTGTAATGCGCGTGATATCTGGTGTTTGAGGAATTATGCGTTTTCTATACAAAGGAGTTACTAGTATATATATATTATCCGTAGTTTTTATGAAGTATCATTTTTGTATAATGATTTTAGGATTTAATCGCTTATTTTATT